ATTTGGCGGCATCATCTCAAGTATCGTATCCAGTTTGTTGAGTGCACAATTTATCATTAATTATGAGTGGTAAAGTGTCCATTCAAACACCTTCACGCTTATCCCTTTTAACATTTGGTGAACACAGTGTGCATAATGAAAATAGCGACAGGATGATATGTCAGTTATTGCACAAACACCACTGAGAATAGTTAGCAACTGAGATGGTTTTTTCCGACGGTCACTCACCGGGCACCCATCCTATGGCTGACCATCAGTAACGCAAACTTTGAGCATCCATCGGTTCCGGCGAGTGGTCACTGAAGTTCAACCTTTCACGAACATTGTCCGATCAGACACTTTCGGTTTCAGTCGCTGGTCAACAAAACTCGATGGCTACCGAGCCAAAATCACTATTTTTCCAGTTGTACCTACTTTCGATTTGATACAAGGGCGCAGGGCAATTCCATAGCCAGAACATGATATTTGGAGGGATTGTTGTACTTTTTTGGAGGTTTTCTTATTTTTGAGAAGGCTAATATACTGAGCAGAGAAAACACTCACTTAAGTTCTGCTCCTATGATAATCGGGGTTGATAAAGGGGTTTTAGGTCGAGAGAAGAAGGGATTTGAGAAGAGACAGGGTTGTCCAAGCTGGAGCAAATCGTGATGACTGAGGGAGAAGAGGGATCCCGAGTTCTGTTAAGCAGTGTCTTTAAAGAACAGGAGCACCGTCACCTCCAGCCTTTGAATGCAAACTCGTTAGATTTGTCTTTCCATTCTGGATTTGAAACATGTCATCAGACTCTGTGCTTGCTTGTGCGCCGCTAATAGTAGGTCCAATTGATCTCGAACGTCAGCTCGAGCGCACTTCGTCCCAACAATTAGGTCAAAAACCGGAGCAGAGTCCCCCGTACCGATGAGCATGGAATGAATTGATTTGTTCAAATCAACTCAATTCTTTCAAGCATAAAATTTTGCTGGTGACCTAGGTTATGAACGATTTCAGTGATGCATTGCTCGTACAGTTCAGTGTATGATCGACATATGAGAATGTGTTGAATCAGAATCAGAATCGTATTCTTGATTGATTTCTTGACGGAATGACGGAATGTCCCTCACAAAGCCCAACAGTTTTAAGTATTAATCGCTATAATCTGGCCCAGAGAACAGTTGGAGGAACAGCCAAAATCTGTTCTGCTTTGTTCCGTTCTTGAAACTCTTCTGTTCCTCGATTTTTGCTCTTTTCTTTTTTTATCTCCATCCTGTTCTATTGCTGCAGTAAAAAATTTCGATCTATTCTTTTCTATTCTGTTCCATTGTTTGAATGTTCTGTTCTACATTGTTGCGTCCCTTTTTGGAACTCTTCTGTGCTATTCCTGGAGACAGAACTGAAATAGAACAATTTTACCGGAATAGAAACATAGNTTTTTGGAACTCTTCTGTGCTATTCCTGGAGACAGAACTGAAATAGAACAATTTTACCGGAATAGAAACATAGCCAATAAGGAGCATTATAATCACTTGGGGGGGGGGGAGGGGGGAATGCTGAGCCCCTTTCTCATGTCTTACCTCCGTGGCTGCGGGCCTGGCTTTGTGAGGTACCGTTTCTCAGGGAATTTTGACACTGAAGTTGTCGTCTTTGCGGGAGAAGATCGCTTCTCGAGATCTCCGCCGAAAAAATTCTCCATCATTTCCAATTCCACAATCTTAGTACATGAATCGAGATGAACAGCAGTTGATGAATTAAATAATAGCTGTAACAGTGGTAATGTCAGAGATAAAATTTAGTTGACGCGTCAGCAGCTGGCTCAGGTAATTTGGAGATAATGATAAACGGTGGTCGTTGTGCGTGCAACGTTCAAGAGCTCGGTGGACGACGCTATTTGGCATCGTTCAAGCCTGAGCAGTCGATAATGCACGTGGTCGAGATGAAATTCAACGGCGACTTCGTGCGCTTATCACCATGGAAAATACCCATCAAAGACAACTCTCTTTTACTGTCTTATAGCAAATCTGGTTTGCAACAGATCGACAATTACAGCAAATCTTCCTCTGATGTGAATATACAGCACAGTATTGATAACATCTCTTATCATTCAAAAAGGTTTTATACATCATCTTATCTATTGTGCATGTCACAACAATTCTTTGGAATTCAGAGTGATCAACAAAAGCTGATTTATTTGATATGCAAAAAGAAAAAGTGCAAAGCGTTAGGAAGATTAGAGAATGAAAAGAATATTCTATTGATTCAAAATATTCGAAGTGATTTGCTGTTAGTGTTTTAAGATGTTTGATGCGTTATTGTTGAAAGTGATGGATCGCTGTGTTTACGAATTAGATAATGCAAACTTCAACAATTAGAAGTGTTCAAATTTGAATTTTT